AGTGTTCTAGTCTTAGCTTCAGCATTTCTGTGTCTGAATTTATTTTAAGTTATTAATTGAGCTTACAAAAATATATGTTTAAGGAACATTTATCTTAATATTACTTATAATTTTGGAAAATTGGAAGTGGAAGCAATCATTTATGCCTGACAAATGTAATGGTTAATTTATATGGATTATAATTTTAAAAAATGTAACATTATATTATGCAGCATAGTGATTATGATTTTGAGCTCTGAAGTGACAAATATGGATCATATTTCTGTGAAAATGGAAAGTAACGATTCATATTCTTGTTTCAGAACACAGACCAGTTGTGTGACCTTGGGAGTATTACTTAACCCATGTCCCTTTCTCTGTAAAATGGAAATAAGACACCCTAAAATTATTTCACATATTTTATATGTGAAGCTCTCTGCATAATTCCAAGCATCTATTAAGCTATAATTAAATATTTGCTTTTAATATTATACCTGAAATGACTGTTATATTTATTGATCTGAAATCATAACTAGGATGCATTTTTATGTGAATAATAGCAATAAAATATACAGGGAAATTCTGTATTCAACACAAACCCATTCACACATTCATTGGGTCTTGAAGGCTATTTTAAGAAAATGTTTCTAATGATTATTGTGATGACCTCACAGATACTTCCTATTCATTTTTTCTTTTGCTTATTCAGATTTTCAGATCATAAACAATTTGTGCAAATTATTTCCTGATTGCTTCTTTAATCAAAACTATAAAAAATAAACTATACTTGTTTCATAAAACCGTGAATTGAGTCACTGCTTATTTACCTAGTTTTAGTCGAATAAATTTTATATTTTTTCATCAAAGAGTTTTCACAGTACTGTGATTCTCTGATTGATTTTGAAGGCCCTCCATAATGTCTTCAGGATGGTCCCCAGTAAGGGAATAGACTCGAAAAAGAGGGAGATGAACCTCTGGGATTAGGTTCCCATCCATGTGTAACTAATTATGTGTGCATTGGAAATGGTTTTTAAATCTATCACTGATTCTTCTCTCCTTAACTAATGACTGAATGAATCATATAATTTGAAGACACAGCCATCAATTCTATATTTATTCACAGAAATGAAATGAGAAAGTTTTTTTCTATATTTGAAAGTAATTTACTGAAAGATGCTTTTATATAAGGCCTGTTAGATAACTGAGGGGAAAAGCTGGCTTTTATTCTTCGTGTAGTATATCATAATTCATAAATGGTATAGAAAAATAGATGCTGAATATACTGGAGTACAAGTAGGAAAATGACATATGGCAAAATAATAACAGAATGTGCTAGTATTTTTAACCTAAAATGTTGATGCCTGTTGGAAATTTTTAAGCTTCTACTTTCAATTTACTTTTTTTAAACAAAATTAAATTTAACAAACGAGAACACAGTATAGCATGTAAATATTGATTTACTTCAAATATTTTTCATGAATGCTCAAAGCTTACATTAAGAAAAATGCCTAAATATGAATATATTTAGTTCCACTAACTATTCCAATAACTAATCACTAATAAGATTGTTTTGACAAGGTCCTATATAACATTTATATTACAGTTCAGAAGCTCTGTAAAACAAAGATTTGCATTATAGAAAATCAACTGAATCTTAAGTAGATTGCCAGAGTTACTCACGCACAACATTCTGAAATCTCAAAGGAATTTATCACAGGAAGCACAGTAATGTATAATCATATTTGTCTTGGCAAGAAACCACAGGATTGTTTTGCTATTGCTATGACACTAATATATGCAACATTTTATACTACAATGTTTCCTGCATATGTGCTATGTATGAAATAGATAATCTGCATAAACTTTAAAATCCGTTAAGTCTTTGTATGGGAGTATCATAGTGTGAAATTAACATTGAGGAAATTTTTATTGCAGGAGGGAACTAACTTGTGTGAAGCATTCACTATGTGCCAAAAAGTTTATCTGTGATGTGTTAACTCCAACAATTATCCTATAGGGAAACCAGCATTGTATCAACTCTGTTTCTATCAATTCTTCAGATAATGAGAGGAGGAGTGATTTGTCTAATTCCACCTCGTTAGTATGCAGCTGAACCACCAGGCTTCAAACCTAGCTGCAAACTCCAAGCTCTCTGTCCACCCATCACTCTGAATAAATTTCAGTTCACGCTTCACCATGACCTCTGTAATCCTATAAAATCTGCAAAAGAGTCAATCAATGTAAAGTTCAATTCCTTGGGTCACTGTGAAGTCTTTCAGAACATTCCTATCCATATAAATATTTTTTTTTGCAATTGCCTTGGGAATTGAACATGGTAATTTTCATCTGTAACAGTACCTACTCATTATAATATTTCTAGATTTTTGGAACTATCATCACTTCTTACCACTTTCATTCAGCTGATGTTTCTGTTAAGGAGGGTGTGTCTTTACATGATGACCTTCATTGGGTGATACAGGGTGGTGAAACGCCTCTATTCTAAGTATAAAACTGAATCTTGTAAACTATTCCTATCATTACTTTCCCTTTCGTTTTGGCAAGAGAGAATTCCCTTTGGTTCAATTGATTAATATCACATCAACCTAAGAAAAAATAATGCCTGGGTTTAGATGGAAATAATTATTTCCTCACAAAGCATTTTCAAATTAGCCAGGAGTGGTTATTGTGGCCTGCTGTAACTGCCATAATTAAACTATATGGATGTTAATTTCCCTTAGATCTATTGCAAATATCCGATTTTCTATCAAATCCTATCTGTCCTTGTATTTATTTTTAAATATTTTTGTTCCTTTACCAGATAAAGCCTATTCCTCTATATTTTCTATGGCATCAGTTAAAATGGATAATTCATACATTATCTCCATGTGTTTACCCATGCCAATCTCATAGACCCAGCATTGGGCCTTGGAGAGAAAATAAGCACAGGCAGGAGAGAGAGAAGGACTAAGGAACTCAGTGCTTTGCTGTTGGGGTGACTGTCGTCTGACCTATGAGGAGCATCTGGAAGGAATGCCAACACACACCTTTCCATTAGTTATAAATGAGAGGAATCTGAAGAAAGGACAGGAAAATGCCATAGCTGAAGGATCAGCATATACTATGGGTAGGGGAGAGGGATGGTTTTTTTAGTGACACTCTGGCTGGGAGCCCTTTTCTACTGTAAATCATGAAGTGAGATAAGTCCTCTAAATCAGCACCTCACTAACAGCAGACTTTGCCAAATGACATCTGGTCAGTCAAAATGGCATAACATGGTTTGGTTTACTGAGATTTAGTAAGCATCATTTTAGCATTCAACTGGATTCTTACATGGCCTTTCAGATTCTTTTGTTGTTCCATGTTGCTCTCTTATTCTCCTCTCTGAACAAGCCATTTCCTTCCTTAAAGTCCTTTTTGGGGCTGGGTGCAGTGGCTCACACCTGTAATTCCAGCACTTTGGGAGGCCGAGGCGGGTGGATCACGAGGTCAAGAGATCAAGACCATCCTGGTCAACATGATGAAACCCCGTCTTTACTAAAAATACAAAAACTTAGCTGGGCATGGTGGCGCATGCCTGTAATCCCAGCTACTCAGGAGGCTGAGGAAGGAGAATTGCCTGAACCCAGGAGGCAGAGGTTGCGGTGAGCCGAGATCGTGCCATTGCACTCCAGCCTGGGTAACAAGAGCGACACTCCGTCTCAAAAAAAAAAAAGTCCTTTTTGGAAGGTAACCAATTTTTGGTTAAGGAAGTCCTTTTGAAAGGTACCCAGCTGCTTACATGATCAGAATCACCTTCTTAATGTTGCATAAAAGAGCCTTCCTAACCTTCATCCAAGGTCACACAGAACACTTTTCCTTGTATTTTCTAATTGTATTTGCTCTCTACTGATTTGCCTATTCATGAACTTTACCAATTAGGGTGTTTTCTATATTACACACATCAATCTTTTGACATGTGTGTTGTTTATATTTTATGCTTTGCAATTGGTCTTTTGTAAATCATTTTAAACTACTCTTGGTAACTTGTTTTTTAAAATGCTTGAATATGTTTTCCAGTTAGCAATGCCAAGAATGAAGCAGTGATAATGAGTCCCACCTTTATGAAATCTGGAGAATCTTAGACTTTTATATTTTTGCTGGTATTATATCCACATTGTGTCATTTTGGCATCTAATATAATTTTCTTTTCTTTACATATCTTCCCTAAATTTTATAGTTTTGTACTGTGTCTGTTACTTTGTTTTACCACAGTTAAATCTAATTCGTTTTATATTTACATGGTTTCTTTTCTTTCCACCAATTCATTCATATCCTAATTTGATCTCTAGATGCTGGTGTATTAGTTGCTAAACATTTTCTGTACCTATTTCAGAGCAATATAATTCCTGAATTATATTGAATTCTTGCATAGCTGATATTTTTATGGTTATTTTAATACTTAAATGACTTTTGAGTGGAAAAATAGAATCATGTTACACACTAATTCATTGAAAACTCTGAAGACATTACTCCATCTAGAACAGATAGAGTAGGATAGATCTTGCATCCAATGCTATGCAGACAAAAGTCTGAGACCAGCACACTATCAGCCTTGGTAAGTAAATTACTTTTCCTGTCTTGTGGTTGTATTAGTTTTCGCTAGGTAATATTACCTAGTATACAGCATATACCTAGTACACAGTATATATATATTTACTCTATACTATATATATACTATATACATTGTAAATATATCATATCCTAGTACATATACTATATATACACTATATATATATACACACATATATATATATACTAGGATATATATATAGTATATATATCCTATCCTAGTATATATACTATATATACACTATATAGTATATATATCATAGTGTATATAGTGAATATTTACTATATATAGTATATACACTATATATATACTATATACACACTATACATAAATACATATTTATATAAATTTATATTTACATAGTATAAATATTTCTATTTATATGTAGTATACATTTATAGTATATAATATATATATAGTATACTATATAAAAGTATATATTATTTATTTGGAAGAGAAGTTCCTTTAATGTATATTTCTGAATATTGCTATTGCCTCATTTGTCATCTTCAGATACAAAGATTCATATGTTCGGGTTCTGTGGTATGTCCTCAATATCTATGATCTTTTCTCAGATATTAATTTAATTCTCATGTTCTTTCATTATAAAACCTGTCAGTAATATAACCGACAGCATTTTCCAGTGTGGATTTTGTTCTTTATGGCTTCTAGCATAGCTTTAATCCCACCATGGCAATATTTGTTTACTTATACTACTTTCCTGATTGTGTCAGCTATCTTTCATCTGACATTCATTTCACATGTTTTCTTTAATTTCCTTGACTGTGGAAAGAAGATCCTATCCACAATAAATTTAATTAAATTTCTTGTAATCTGTTTTTTTTTTGTTTTTTTTTTTGAGATGGAGTCTGGATCTGTCTCCCAGGCCGGAGTGCAGTGCCACACTCTCGACTTGCTGTAACCTCTACCTCCCAGGTTCAAGTGATTCTCCTGCCTCAGCTTCCCAAGTAGCTGTGACTACAGGTGTGCACCATCATGCCTGGCTAATTTTTGTATTTACAGTAGAGTCAGAGTTTTGCCAAGTTGGCTGGGCTTGTCTCAAACTCCTGACCTCAACTGATCCACCTGCTTTGGCCTCTCAAAGTGTGGGATTACAGGTGTAAGGCACCACACCCAGCCAAATTTCTTGTAATCTTTTTTTAAAACAAAACAAAACAAAACAAAACATGCTCTATCTATTAAAATGACTCTTTCTCTCTCCTCTATGTCATTTTAAAGGATTTGAGTTCTTGTTCTGATTATTCATGCTTGAAATAGAATGATTTAGCTCAGCTCATTTTCCTAAAATGAGTGGGAAAGGATTCATAAGCAGTCTCTTAATAATAACCATGAATCGCCAGGGAATCCTCCACTTACATCTGAGCAGAAGACCTGGAGGATGTAGTTTTTTATCATCACTTTGATGACTTATCAGTCTGAGTGCACTGTGAGAAGAAGCTAAGACCATGAGCATTTTCAGGAAGGTCACTTTGTTTCTACACAGTTTCATTCATGCTTATGTTTGTTGAAACCAGAAAGACTACTGATTCATTCAGTCTACTTCTTTTCCATGAGTATCTGCAATTCTTGGAGGCAGCTTTTGGTTTTGAATGAAGGTAACTCCCCATCCAGGGTGGGGTACCCATCCAGTTCAGAAAAAGTTTCATTCATCTGTCATGAACCCCTTACAGTGAGAAGCCTAATCACAGGACAGCTTCTTGTCTGAGAGCTTTCTTTGGGTATTTGCTTATTTGCTAACTCTGTCTCAAAATGGTGTTGATCCAAAGTGTTGAGATGTTCTCTAAATGAAGCAGACTCCTTATTCTCTTAGAGACTGCTCCTAGCTCTCATTCTCACTCTTTGGAATTTTGGGACATTATTGAGGCTGCATAGAATTTTAGCTACTCATACGGCATTGTAATTCTTTAAGAGCAAAGAAAAAATGGAATTGTCCTTTGGGGGATTTCCTAAAAATGGATTTATTTATATCATATCTAGTCAAAATCCCAAAGCTATTTACTCTATCCAGTTTTCACTAGGCTATTAAGATATTAATTCCTATGTTATTTTTGATAATATAGGAGTCTTCATCTCTATTTCCTAGAAGGAGTTACACATTTGTTTCTTGGACTCCTAAGGATAATTAATAGAATCTTTTTGGAGATGTCTTGAAACCAGCAACACTGACGCTTTTGTTAGAGATACATGGGCCATTGAAGACCAGAGCCAGGAAAGCATGAATTGGAGAGAAAGAGTTGGTGTGACCACGAGGAGATTTGACTCCCTGGGTCCTTGGTTGGATGATGGCTTTGTGGCTCCTGTAAATGACAAGCACCTGCACACAGCTCACATGAAGGGCCCCAGGGCTAATGGTACCTAAAATAGGAATGGCTGCAAGGTGTCACAGAAAGCTGAACCCTTGGCATGAAGGTGTGACAGATACCACCAAGATTTCCATGCACAATTTGGCAGATAAAAATAAACCAAACACTTGCAGAAAGGTCATGTGAGTCCTAAAGAAGTACAGGGTTTTAAATGACCCTGGGACAGTTTTTCTGAGGGCCTTTTGTCAATCTGAACACATCAGCAGTCAATCCACTGAGGAAGCATGGGAACCTCCTTAGAGAACAGCTTAAATAATTGAATAACTTTTAAAAAGATAATTATTTTCCATTATAAAATTATTCATAATTGGTATAGCATTTCACTGTAAAAGGAGAGGAAGGAAGGAATGAAGGAAGGATGGGAGGAAGGAAGGAAGGAAGGAAGGAAGGAAGGAAGGAAGGAAGGAAGGAAGGAAGGAAGGAAGATTCGATCAGGAATGTGGATAAGGTCATGGTCCATGAATCTCAGTTGCTTCCTTAAGTTTAAGCATTGCTCTTACTGGTGTCTGCTTCTCTCTCTTTCTTTTTCTTTCTCTCTCTCTTCCACATGTTCCTTTCTATGCTACTAAAGATAAGTAGATGCTATTTTGCATAATTGACTTTTTATATATACATTTAATATATATAAGTATAAAGTTTTTTTTTAAATTTTGTTATATATTGGAAAACTTTCCATGCCTTGATTTACCTCATCCATTTCAGCTATTAAATAATAATAATGATTGTAGTTATGATTATTATGGGTTTCATTGGTACCAGACACTGTTTTAACTGCTTTATCATTAACTTATTGAACTCATATAATGATCAATTTATGAAAGAGAAACCTGAATCACCAAGCATTAAATGAGTTGCCTAAGGTCAAAATTACCCAAAATTCTCAGCTAGTTTGCCTCCAGAACTCATGAGCAGAAGCACTACACTACAATTTCCTGGACCTCACTGATTTAATAATTCGCTACTCATATACATTTAAGCTTTTGATGATTTGATATGACAAACAGCCATCATGAAGTTACTGGTAACCTGAATATTTAGTGGACATTGGGATACAATGGGCCAGTTTCCACAGATGACTAATTCTTTTCACAAACCAAATGTAATGAATGTTCAGATACACTTGGCTTTCAGAAAAATCAGTACTTTTCCTCATAAACTGTGGTAATTAACTATATGACAAACTCCCTATAATTGAGGGATAAACTGCTGGCATAAAAATAAAGAATGCTTGCATGCTCTAATTACACTGCAGCTTATAGCTTCTCAAACATGCACTTTGAACATAAAAGGTTCTGTAAGTACATAACTTCTAAAAGAAACCCTCTGCCTCCTCCATACAAAAGTGACAACCAGAAAATGACAGCTTGGCATCATGCTAAAACTCTTGGCCATGCTTTCAGAAAAAACTTTCACACAGGGCTCCCTTACTCTTTTCAGAGGCCCAGCTTTAAGGTCTAATGTCACTCTCCAACTATCAATTATTAAGATCAAAGTACTGGGAAGAATTTTGCAATTACTTGTTAACCAGTATGAACCATGATGAATGCAATAAGGTGAGTACTCATTTAGTGACATTGACAGGCTCTTGGAAACCAAGTTTAATTAGAATGAGGTATAACCGATTTGACCATAGGCTAATTGATATAAACAAGAATTAAGTTTCTATGGCATATTTCTGGTTGCAAACTTCTAAATAAAGACCAAAACACTTCTAATATAAAACATTGGAATAAATGTAATTATAGATACATTTAAGAAAGATTAATAAAAACAGTCACGATAATTATCTGTCCAATTATTTTGTTTCAGGGTAGCAGGTGGCCAGAGCCTAGCCTGGCAGCTCAGGACACAAGGAAGTAACAGGCCCTGGACAGGACATCATCCCACAGCAGGTGCACTAACATAATGCACATCACATTCACCCACACTGGGACCATTTAAACATGCCACTTCACCTAATAGGTACATCTTTGGAAGGTGGGAGGAAAACAGGGTAGAATAGCCATGCAGATATGGGGAGAACATGCAAACTCCACACAGACAGCAGCCCTAGCCAGAGTGTGATTTTTTTCTCAGTGTTAGAAAGAAATGATATTGAATGAAATAATGTAATTTGAAGACCTGCTGTATATTTATCCCAAATGCTCCTCATCACACACAAAAAGAGAAAGCTCTTGCAGGCTTCCATTAAGTGACAGCCTTCCTCCCTTTCTGCCTGATGAACACCAGTACATGTCCTCTCAGCGGCACTGTTCCAAAAGCAAGCCTGAGATGTATTCTTGGCACCTGGCCTCATGATCATCCCATGCTCTGTGTGAGTGCAGGGGGCAGGACTTGCACTGTGCAGACAGCATTCTGCCTGGGAACAGGAATAAAAAGATGGAGGTGTAAAGGTGGAGCTCAGCAGGGTGTGGTGCCCAGGCACTACATGAGTAAGGGGAGAACCGAATCAGATTCAAACCATTTTTATTTCTTAGCTATCAGAGTGAAAACAAAGAGCATAAATTGGTGATGACAAAAAAATTAATAAAAGAAACATGCCACTTAACCTAGTATGTACATAAATACATATATTAATGAATACTCATCTCTAGCAATTTATAGATTAATGGAATATTTTCACTTTTACCATCTAATATTTAAAAGCTTGCTCTAAATAAAAATGAACTGGCATAACATCAACAAAAAGAATCCTTTAAATAATTTGACAGATACAATGGTGTAATGATATATATGAAGATTTGGCAATGCTAGAAAGCTACCAAAGAACAGCCATGCTAACAAATGTTAAAAAGTAGAAGGCTGTGATTATTACTGAAGTTAATTTCAGAGGTATTCAAAATGAAAAGGTTGTAATAGTTACCCTGACCATATTATTCAAAATATGTCTAAGATCTCTTCCTATAATTCACAACCTTTTTTTTTTCTAAGATGTTAGAGATGGGCCCAGGCTGGAGTACAGTGGTGTGATCATAGCTTACTGCAGCCTTGAACTCCTGGGTTCAAGCAATCCTCCTGTCTCAGCCTCCTGAGTCTCTAGGCTACAGGCACATGCCACCATTTTATTTTTTTATTTTATTTTTTTGTAGAAATAAAGTCTCACTATTGTTACAACCCAAGCTGGTCTCAAATTCCTGACCTCAAGAGATCCTTCCAGCTTAGCCTCCCAAAGCGCTGGTATTACAGGCATGAGCCACTGTGTCCCAGCTAAATTCCACTGTTTTTAATCTTTATTTAATAAATTAAACAAGATCTAATTTTGTACAGATTATTCCATTTTTAAACATATTTTCTTATAAAGATGTGTGTCTCAAAATATTACATTGTATACTTTTTCTCAGCTGATTATCAACGATCTGGGCTTTGCAAATTAACCATTTGGCAGTCCAGTTTTCTTAACCGTAAAATGGGAATATGCATTATAATAGGGTATCAGCTAAGTCACTATAGAAAAAAAGTTAAAACAATCCAGTGTCTTAGAGGAGAAAGTAGTTCACTGCTTTCTCAGAACCATCTAGGCTGGGTATATGAACTCTGCTCCATACGCTCATCCAGGAACCCAGGCTGGCTGGGTAGACTGGTCACAATCACAAAGTGATTTCCAAGGTTGCTCCAGTCATTACCTTTCCAGTTGGTAAGAAGGGGTAGAGAATGCCCGGGGCAAGAGTCTTCAAAGAGATAAATCAGAGGTTGTACTTTTCCTTCTGCTCATATTCCATTTGCCTAAACTTGGTCTCATGGTTACACCTAACTGCCAGGGAAGCTGGGAAATATAGAATGTAGCTGGGCTGTCATGAATGTAGCTAAAATTAGGGAATTCAATTACTAAAAGGAAAAAGGGGAGAAGGAATACTGAGTATTAGCAGTTCCTACCATTATAATGAGGACCATGTTTAAAAATTGTGAGGGCTGAGACTGTATTTGTAGAGCATAGGACTTGACACATACTGACAATCATCATTAAATGGAAGTTATTAGTGTTAGTATGTTACTATTATTAAGTGCTTCTATTCTTACCTGAATGCTTGAATTCTCTCTAAAGTATCATGGACAAGTTATTTTTTAGCTATTCTGGAGTTCCTATAGTAAAAGGAAATTTTGTCTCTTTTAAGGCAGTCATTTCATTTTCAGAGATTTTCCTTCTTTCTAGCCATTATTGATCTTCTTACGCTCACTCTCCTTTGTTTTATCCTAATTGTGATCTCAGACACCCTCCAGAACAATTCTCATTTCTCTGTCATACAAAAGTCCTTTAGATTCTCACGGGAAGCTATTGCTTCTTTCATGAGTTTTCTTCAAGCGCTTTTTTTGTTCCTCCAACAGTCCCTCATTATCCATGATGTTGAGTAAACCCACCATCCTAAAGACATTCATTCACTTATTTAACAAATATTTACTGAGTGCCAACTATTTTATCAACGTCCACTTGAAAACTGTTGTCAAGATCAGTACACAGTATTAAAAGTTGGTCTGACCAGAGCCTAGCAGGGCATACCATCAATCCCCTCATTCAGGGCATCATTTTCCCCAAGTGGGCCTTAAGATCATTTAACTCTTTTGGCAGCCTTATGCTGTCAACACATGTTGACTTGGTGCCTATTACACCCCGAGCCTTTTTCATTTGTGCAGTTCACCAAGGTGTACCTTCTTTATACGTGAAGATTTTTAAAAATCCAAATACAAACTGTTTCCTTTATTTCTAGTTAATAATGAATTGTATCGTATTACAGTCTCTGAAAAATTTTTATTCTTTCATTGAATATGTTAATTATCTCACACAGATTCACACAATCTGAACACCTGATTAGCATGTACTGACTCTTCAGCTCAGATATTAATCAAAATGTGGAAGTGAAAGGACTGAAGAGAAGCCACTAGTAACCCTCAGAGCAATCACTTAACTAGTTACAAATGCACATAACTGCACCAACATTTAGGAAGTATTATCCTACGTGGTTCATAAAAGTCTCAAGAAAATACCTGGTTTCTGTGCTCACTGCCATGCCTAATGAGGCCTTGGCCTACCGGTCCAAGTGCTACCTTCTGGCTGCATTCAGCCCAACGGAGCAATCTCCCTGATTAGGAGAGCACAATTGGTGTTTTCCTGATGTCAGACCTTTGTGCACTGAGATTCAGCAAATTTTTATTGAACCGTAATTTTGTGCCAGGCATTGTATTGAGCACTTTCTTACATAAATGGAACATGGAAGACATGGAATATATTTTGTAAAAAAATGCATATATTCTCAAGTAAAACTATCTTATTTGTCCTATGTGTGAGACCAGTACACAATGTTCCTTATTTAGAAACTACGGCAAAGTACTAAATGGATTTCACATACAGGTACTCCTCAGCTTTTGGCATGAGGAATACAAACAGATACTTTATTTTATTTTTTGAGATAGAGTCTCACTCTGTTGCCTAAGTTGGAGTACAGTGGCATGATCTTGGCTCACTGCAACCTGTGCCTCCTGGGTTCAAGCGATTCTCATGCCTCAGCCTCCTAAGTAGTTGGGACTACAGGAGCATGCCACCACGCCCACCTCTTTTTTCTATTTTTTTGATAGAGATGGGGTTTTTCCATGTTGGCGAGGCTGGTCTCAAGGGATCTTCCCGCCTGGCCTCCCAAAGAGCTCAGCTTGACTGTAGGCCCGGTGTGAGCCACCGCGACCGCCCTACAAACAGAATTTTAAAATGTGATATATATTTTTCTATTACCTCCTCAGTGGCTAAATTATTGCTAAATATCACAGTATACCCTGAGACTAAGTAAATCAACATAAACTGTGTGGACATGCTCCAGATATACATACAGGAATATAATTCATTTGCTCTAGACATTTAGAATTTAAATTGTGAGTCACCTGTACAGATGTTACCTTTTCCAAAGGGCTTTCTACTCGAGGAATGCTGATCATTGGCATCTGTGCCAGATTATCCATGTGTATATGTTCATTTTCTGCTTGTCTTCCTTTGAAATTATTCACCACACACACAACCTAAAATTTCAGAAAACAATTACAGTTAAAGCAGAACAGTGCTCATAGTGGCTTTCACCCTTCTGAGGGGCTTAATGAATCTAAACATGTAAGAAAGTATTAAAATTTCTTAAATGTTACATGTATATGAATTTATATCCAGATTTACTATACCTGTTTATTATAAAATTTATTGTATAAATTTTAAAGCCACTCCAATGCAGATATGTTCAAGAAAACTCACCAGTTAATATGTAGCTCACTTAATTATGACAATTTTATTATTCTAAAATTTTCATTAAAATATAGTCAATGCTCTAATCAATCATAATACCATAACCTTATAAAAATTCATAGCAAGCTAACCTTTTCCTAATATGGCTAATCTACAACTTAATTTAAATGCTAATTATTTTTCTTTGCTTCAGTATCATCATATTCATAATAAACCTACAATTGGCACTCTCAAATTTAGGAGCATCCCTAATTAACCTAGTTTATCATCTATTATTGTGTCTCATATATACCTGGCATTCCAACAATAGCTTACTGAGGCTACCACTGAAATAGAAAACCCTTTACCTAAAGGAAATTGACCCTAGTTTCAATTGATTTTATCTCAAAGGTGACAGAATTTGAACTGAACCAAAGGTTCTCATACTTAATGTGCATAAAAATACATTTCTGGCATTGTTAAAACGCACATCCCTAAGCCCTCCCCTAAAGATTCCAATTTAATAAATGAAGAATGGGGCCTGGGAATTGGCACTTCAAAAATGCATTCAAGAAGCTTCTAATGCAGGTGAATCATATTTAAGAAATAATGAAATAAACATGCCAGGAAAATTATTTGCTATTGTTTGGTTATACCATAAAAAAGTATTATTGGGAAAGTTATTCTTGAGTTTCTTTACTGCATTTCATATTCTATTACAAATCAAAATACAGGTTTTACTTGCAGCTATAACCTAACATTCATTTTGTGAAGTGGGTACTTAATATATAATTATACATTTACATTTCATATTTTCACAAAAGCTACATTGAAAAGCCTTTTCTTTAGCAGAGTTCATTACTGAATATTTTCAAAGGCCAATTAGATCTTGGTTGCTTTCCATTTTTTTAACTATAACTTACAAATCTACAAAATAATAACACGTACTGAGATTCATGTCAGAAAAAAAACTTCTTTGCAAATTGTTACATATTTCTTATCCTTCCACTTCCCAGAAGAATTACAGATTAGAAAATTAGATCAAAACCTGATAATTTGATACCTCAACTTTGCAGTTGCCACCAAGATCTTTAAAGTAAGGGGCAGTAAGGGCTTGGAGATGGGTACTTGATAAGATTGCTATCTCATGATGCTGCCAGCTTCATGAGTCCACAAAGGTCTAATAGATACTGATTGCTCTAGTGATAAGGTAAGCAAATTTTGTCTGTAAAAAGAAGATGGTAAACATTTTTGGTTTTACAGCCTTACAACCTTTGCAGCAACCATTCAACTCTGCCTTTTTGGTGCAAAAGCAGCCATTGACAGTTCATAAACAAATGGAGTGTCAATATTCCAATATAACCTTCTTTACAAAGATGGGCAGCAGTTCAAATTTGGTCTATGGGCCACAGTTGGCTGACTGACCACTGCTCTAGAGTACAAAGGAAATAATCAAGAATTTTAGCCAACAATAACAACAATGAAACAAACAAGCAGTTGCACACTCATTTCATGAAATCTGCACACACATACAGATTTTCTGTTTCAGGAGTATTATAAATTATTGGAAAATTTGGAAGATGAATAACATTGCTAATAATTATTTTGAAGTAAAATTTGTTAAAGTAACTGTACATAAATATATGGAACTCATGAGATAAAGGAAAGTTCATCTAGTATCAATATGGGCTTCTGGAATTATAATTATTTCGTATTATTTAGGTTTTGGAAACTCTTTGAAGGATGTATTGCTTATCTCTTTGCCTTAATAAAGGATCAGGGAAACACCATTGAGAATTTGTATATGAAATACTTAAGTGACTAACGCATAGCAGATACTCATTAAATTGTATCTACTAGCGTCAGGATTATTCTTATTATTTTAATTATCAGGAAGGAAATTACCTTTCTGTAGAGTTATATTCCAATATTTAATAAGACACATCTGCTACCATTTACAAGTATGGAACAGATGTCCTGTTTGTAAAAATGCTGATAAGAAAAAGCAAGGGAACTGGTTTTTGATCCTGAGCATGCCTGAGTTTGCATGTTCTTGGACAATTCTCAGGGTCTCACTTTTCTCAATTAAAAAGTGAAGAGGTTACGATTGAGCACTAAGTTAACTTCATTTCTTTGGCTGGAAAGGTATGACAATTCAACAACTACTCAAAACTAAACTCAAGATCTGCCTGCCTCCAGCACCCACTCCAAACTTGATCTTTTCTCTGGATACTTTCAAAGAAAGGCAACGTGCCACCCCATCCCCAACACCTACCTCCACCCCAGTGCAGCTGCACAAGGCTGAAAACTTGAATTAATCCTTTACATCTCTTATACTTGACCAGTTACTGAATCTGCTCAATATTACTTTCTAAATATATTGATTTCTTGTATTTGCTTCATTCTATCTCCTCTATCAACTCCAAAAACTAAGCAATCACCACTTGTTGCCTGGATTCCTATACAACTTTCAAAACTGTTTCTCTAAATCTAATCTTGCACCCTCTTTTTCCATGATAATATGAGAATGATCTTTCCAAATGCAAACTGGATTATGTTACCCCTTAAAGCCATTCATGGCTTGGCTTTCCATTTTTCTTAAACTGTAAACCCTGGCCCAGGCCCACTGTTGCAGCTTTCCTCTGTTTTCAAAGTACTTTCTGTTCCCTTTCACTTACTGCTGTTTGGATACACCTCATGTCCACTGTCTTTGGATGCCATATCTAACTCAGCCATGATGTCTTATCTGAGCATCCTTTCCTCGTGTGTGCATTCCTTGAACTCCTAGCTGGGATGGTTTATTTTGTTTTTGTTTGCTTTTTGCTCACATGGAGCTGTGATTCTTTTTATCAGAGCAGTTAGTATGAAATTAAACATCATTTAAAATAACACTTTGATTGATGTGTCTCTTCCAAGTTCCACACATGCAGAGCCGCTCCTTTTTGCTCACCACTGTGGTCCCACTGTCACAGTGAATGAACAGATTAATGAATGAGCATGCATCGAGGACAAAAATTCTCAAGTTTTCTGATGTGATTGTTAATTTAACATTACTTTGCTTTCATACATTCTATTTTTACATTAGTGACTTCTATTTGTATAACTGTCATAATTCTATTTTCTCCTACAAAGATGATAATTTCTTTTTCCTTAGTGATGAAAACTTAATCTGATCCTTTCTTGTTCATTTGAAACATAATTATTGCATGGGTATAAGTGCATGGGCCTTGGGGTCAAACTGGTCTGGATTTTAATCCTGGATCTCTCAGCTACTAACTTTGTGAATATGGGCAAGCTACTCCTATAATCAGGCCTCAATTTTTTTAAACCTGCAAAAATGAGGACAATAAAAACTACATTTTACTGATCTGTTCTGAGGGTTAATTGCATTAATGTAGTAAAGAGCACCATAACTATTATTGTGATATATGAAAACATGACAAGCTATTGTTGTGGCTCAATAGCCATTCTGCCTCACACTGTCATATATATAATAATCTACAGCTATTATTCAACTAGTGTTTGCTTTGTATTTTGCTAAGGATGGTGATTCTGCTCTCTAACCTGAAACAAAATTCACATGAGATAAGAGTGATACGATTAACACAGTACATAATTCCTTATTAAATTATAACAGGACAGACTGAGAGAGTGGTAGAAATTCAGGAAAAATGGAAAAATCAGCTGATCAGGGAAGGTTCCTGGGGAAATTAGATCTTGTCTGAGCCAAATCTCACGTGTGTCAAGGGTTTGAAAATAGTCATTAAATGTGAAGACCGTGGTATTTAGTGTCTTGTTTGCAATAGGCTGCCCTTCTTACATGTGGGACTTCACATAATCCTTAAAAGAGCCCTGGGAAGTAAATAAAAAATTCTTTATTCATTTTTTCGTGTATTAATTCATTCATCATGTATTTACTCAGTAATTCCTCTGTACTAGACCTTATTCTAGTTCTTGGGGCTATGCAGTGAACAAACCAAACAGAAGACTTACTTCATAAGGAGGTTACATTCTAGTGAGACTGATAGCAAAGCCAAACCAAACATGTTACATGTGGTTTACTGCACAGCAATTTATTACACACTAATTAACAGTACATATTAAAAGCTGAAGCATCCTATGTAGAAAATAAAGTAGGGGAGGAGGAAAGGAATCCTCAAGGAGGGGTAGTCATTTTAAACGTGTTTCAGGAAAGGCCTCACTATTTTAGTAAGAAACAATCACGTCTAGAATTCAAAGAGTATGGTCAGAGAGCAAAGTTACAAAACATGGAAGACATATTTTCATAGTGGAAATGAACCAGGCCTAAATGAATCACTGGTGTCTGGAATGAACCAAGAGAATAAGCTGGTGTGTGGAATGAACCAGGAGATTCTACTTTTGGAGACCTGGAGTAGATTAGCATTAATTTTATTTTGGAATCACTTTAGAATTCTGCACACAATGCAAGATAATTAGAAACACCTCAGGATATTACAACATATTACAGGCCAGAGCTGGAGTTACTACTCAAAATAAGTGTGTTGTGTTTCCCAAATGAGAAAACTGGGAATCATCATAGAAGGCTCCCTGTGCCTCGTCCACATCACTTTCCATGTTCCACCAGGGACCAAACCATGCCACCTCCTAAATATCCCGGAGGACATGATGAATATCCTCCCTCCTTGTGCCACTGAGGACCAATTTATACCATCCTGTTTCCCTGGTCCTTCAGAACCCATCTCTTCTATCCTCAACTTTGTCACATCATCCTGCAAATATATTTTCAAAACACGAATCTTATCATAGGGTAAAAGGGACCTAGAAGAAGCAAACTGTCATTTGTGGAACTTTTTCCAGTCATTCATGTAGCCATTCACTGAACATGCACTATTTTGTTTAACCTTTATAGATCCTTATTATAATTTTTAGGGAGGTGTTATTTAGCCACATTTAAATATACCTATAGGCATTCACACTTATGGTTGCAAATAAATGCATAAATGCATTTTTAGTTATTATACAGGCATTATTTTCATATAAACTTTTCATGAAGTCATTTTCCTGGGAGTATGAGAGTGTTTAAAGGGCTATCATGAAATGTTCTCAACATGTGCAATAGGAGGGTCTTGACCTCAAGGGGGATCCAGGGTTCAGCTCAACATTCACCAGACAGGGAAGTCACTTGGCACCAGCATTCTGGTGTTGGCCTTGTAAGGCAAGGTGTTCACTGGAAGTATAGGGAGGGTGGCAATAGCCACAGATAAACGAGAAGGTTGATGAGATGATGGTGAAGACATTATGGACCCACGGAGGAAAGTAGCAATAGCTAAAGATAAACAAGAAAGCTGATGAGATGCCAGTGAAGATGTTATGGACCCGCGGAGCCGAAACACAGTTGTATCTGGCACTAATGCTTGATATTTTGGCTACTTCTATGGTCTTTGCTTTGCCAATAACATTTTTTAAGGATTTATGTAAAATTTGTCATTGGTGCTGTTTTTTGAATGTTATTCACTTTCAGCTGTGGTGTGTGAATGCAAAAAAAAAAAGGTTTTGGTCCAAGCCAGGGCCCTCAGTTTTCATGAGGCTGCAGGATATCTCCAGGAAAGACAGGAGGTTGAGTCTAAGTCTCCCAGGGACCTTGGGAATTAATTAAAGAGAGTGATACATATATATGTTTCTTATAAATCCTTAAAAAATATTATAGGCAGTTTTTACTCAGTCTTAAAAACTATTTGGGAAGGACAGTATGTTTTTAGGCCAGCTCTATTGTTTATGAAAATATCTTGTTCAACTTTAAGTGTAAGATATGCATTTTTTTAAACTCCAAACCTGACTTGAGGCAGAACAAATGGGGGAGGAGGAAGACATGAATGACTTAAATGAATGACTTGTTTGATATACTACATTTAGACAAACCCGGTGGTTCACACGTGTATTTTCTTATAAATTTTTTTTAAATTAACATGTTAATTAAAAAACCCAAGGATATATAAATACATTTGTACTTACCAGAAATACTGCTATAGATATTCCAACCAGAAAGCCTGCTATAACATCTGACCAATGATTTCGATATTCTGCTACTCTGTTGAGTCCAGTAAGAAATGCCAAACACATTAAGCCCAAGCATAGAACTGGCTTAGCAAGTCTGGTTCCCTTGGCTTTGATTGTGTTGGTAATGTACATCTGAAACATTAAATAAAAGACATGATTTTCATGAAGGTATTTCCTTTATTAGCATAGCATATTATGTGTATGTACAAACACACACACACACACACACACCTGTATGGTTCAAATTGTTAACTATAGTTTATGAAGTTCTTGAATGAAGTTTTTTAAAAGCAGAATTTAAGAGTAGCAATTATTTCATTTTACTTACCTTCTATGGCAATGTCTTACTAATGGTCAATTCTTAACATAACATTATTAATCATCAAGAAACATCAAGCACAGATATTCCAATTGTCTTTTTTTCTTTTTATTCTTACTGTATCTATTCTTGTTTGATCTGAATTTTCACTTTAGGTCAACCTCAACAATATTGTCCAAAAGGTGAAAACTGATGAAGTGCGTAAGTGTTTTTAACGTTTCCATTTGTATATACCATAATGAAAGGATGCATACTTGATAAAAACCAGAACTGTGAATATAGCTAGGAGAAATAAAGTGGAATAGATTTCTACCAAACAGATGTTAGTTTGAAGAAAGAATTTAAGGTTCAATGCACTGCCAAGGTTTCCTTTCATGTTGTTAAATGAAATTGTGACATTATTTTAACTATATTTTATGAACCAGAATTAGGACAATAAAACACTTAAGTACAATAAGAGAAATGCGTCCACTAAAAACAAAACAAAACGATGAATAGATATCTATAATTCTTACATCTTGACATATGCTAATGAACATACAGTATCAACTGACTGCAGCAAATGAAATGTCGTGAGCCACCATGCTCAAGAGTAATTTGGTCCTTCTCCCATCAATTTATTCTATAGCTCAACTGCTCACAATTTCATGCACTGCTTTATAAGCAAATCTGTTGACTGTAAGTGGAATGTTTCAATTATTATTTCAAGTCATTAGTAGAGCAACTGTGAAAGAGATGACTGATAATATAATCAGATTTATGGTATAAACGTCAGTAAATATCTGGTGCTGATAATATACTCAGAAACATACTTAGAAATGCATATAAACCCTAAACTATTGTCCCTGGTTAAATAAACAATACATCTGCCTAAGAGAGTAAAGCAAAATCAGCATTTAAGTTTTTAGTTCACACCAGCCATTTTAGAACACTATGACATCCAGTAATTATCTTCTCTATTTTTTTTCTGGGCAAAGTTTGCAGCCCTGTGCTGCCAGAAGGGACTGTATAATATGTAAGCAGTCCAAGTGACACAAGGCATCTCTCTAGCCAAGTTCTAACCTTTAACAATCCATCCCAGTTCTCAATACTCTGAGGCAGTGGGAACTGAACTGCCTCCATCTTGGCCTGTGACCTTCGGAGCTGGGTCTGTGTGTCTAAGCCAGTGCTAGTAAAAGCTTGATAATTTCAGTTTTGGAGGATAAATATACATGGGAAGGGAACAGGAAGATATAAGAAAGAGAAAACGATGCTTTTGCCATTCTGAGAGAATGTGTTAAATTAGAGCTCAGCCCACATGAATAACAATGCCAGGCTATCACACCACCTCACATTTCTAGCGATTTCGCTAATTGAGTAATTCCTTGTATGACTAGTGCATATAAATAGAGAGGGAAATTCAGGCTTCTTGTGAGGTTTTCTTTAACACAGCTATAAGGCTGGTTAATTATTTCTTACTTTTGCATTTCTTTACATCTGTTAGTACTCAAGATATTCTGTCTTCATTAAGAAAAAATAAATGTGGGATGATAAATGAATAATATTAATACTCCTAATATCAATTATGGCTACCATTTAATGAGTGATTGCTCTTCAAGGCAATGTTCTAGGTATTTTATTAAAAACTACTTATCTCATTAAATCTTCAAAACAATCCTCTAGGTATCGTTATTACCTCCATTACATAGGTTAAAAATTGAATCAAGATAAAGCTTATTATGAAGACTACACAACTTTATGATTGTGGTGGCACCGTAGAGAAGAAACAGATGTAAATGGGAAGTAAAGGGAAGGCACTTAGGTATCGCTTAATCTTCCTTTCTTCTTCATTGATTTCTTGCCTGGAGGAAATGGCCAATGAGCATAAGTTGGGTATCAGTGAATGCAAGAGAGTCAGAAACTAAAGACAGGAGAACGGAGGCTACCACAGAATCATAGGAGTAAGGCTACGTCTGTGCTCTGCTATTAGATAGAAGTAGGAAATAGTGTAAATGTGGTCCTTGTGCAAAATATCCTACAGAATCTATAATGGCTTAGGAAAACATCTGCCTTTCCCTCACCCCCAAAAGCCGTCTCAGATACAGTCCGGTTCTTACTTGTCCAAGTTGTATGGGCCCATAGTAAACTGTGGGCTTGGGTTACATCCCTGTGAAGTTTCTCTTGAACATTGAGTTTATCATTGAATTGCCCTAATGACTCAAGCAAGGTTTATAAGGAGCCCACAGACAGTCAAGCCACAGTGCAAACTCATGAAAAAACTTCTGTTTTAGGACTAGCCTGGAATTTGGCTTTTCCCTCCATCACAGTGGAGAGTGGACAGTGGCTGAATTTCAAGGGTTATGTGAATTTCAAGGGTTATAGATTTAACTTTAAAGTAGATCATAGCACTGCTTTATAATGTACAAACTTTTCTGCCGCATAATCAGTTGGCATGGATGTAACAAAAGAAAAATTAAGAGAGCTTTCACTTGTACTCAGCAACTCTTCAGTGCTTTATGAACATAAGTGCCTTTTTAACCAGTCTAATTGTGTTATCCTTACAGAAAGTCTATTATTCTTAATTTACAGAAGAGGAAATTATGGCATAATAATCTATTAAGCATGTTGGATACAGAACAGAAATTGATTACTTATGCTCTCTTGGTTTTTAATTCACTTTTGAAACCATCTAGGTTAACCAGATGTCAAAATGTAGCTAAAATAAAATACAAAGAGCAGGTATGTGATTTGAGGAGGATGGTATTCACTCAGTCCTCTTGGGTCAGTGGATGCTCACCACCCTACCGGCAACCCATTTAATCATTATTAGCAGAGTTTATTCATCCATCCCACAAATATCCATTAGCACTAAGATGCAGAAAGCCAAAGTTGATCATTTACTCCCTGTTAAGAGCCTGGTGTATATTCTTTTATACTTTTTCTCTTTGCTTATATAAATATATACGATAATTAACACACATATAAAAAGGTTTTGCTTACTTGTTTGCTTTTACTAAAGTATAATCATAATGTCCTATTAGTCTATAATAAGCACGGACTCAATTGTTATACACCCATTTTTTGTGTAAATTGAGAAACATTGAATTATTATTAATAATGAAACAAAACTATTATAAAAATAAATGAAAATAAAAACACACAAATATTTATTAAGCACCTACTATGCACCAGAGGCTGTGTTAGGTTTCTTCAAACAGAAGACATCTGTAGTTAGATCCTGAGGAATGAGCATGAGAGTTCCAGGCAAAAGGGACATGGCGGGGAAAGGTGTCCTATACAACATACATAATCGTCCTCAGTGTTCTCAAAGCACCTTGTTCTTCATCTGAGAACACTTGCCACAATGTATGGTTGTAATTTATTTTCATTGTTTCCTTCACTAGAGGAGGACATAGAAGCCAAGTCTAGGCTATTCATTGTGGCCTAGATTTTGGAGAATGTTTTTCCATTTCTTGTTTTCATGCTTCTTTCACTTTTTTCTTATGCTATTTAGCTCTAAAGACATCCATTAATTGTTTATTTGCAGTTGATTATATGTATTCTTTTATTATTTGCCTATTCTTTTCTACAGATGAAACAGCCTCAATTCCCCTCAGCATGGCGAGCTCCCTCAGCACCCTGGACACTATAGTGCTTTTGACATCTGTTAGTCCTTCTCTCAAAGAGCACAGCCCTATATTAAGAAAACCGCTGCCTAGAGTGCCATCTGACCGGCCCAGAGTGCAGTTGAGACTTCTAGATTGCACCTTATTCATTGATCTGTTTATCATAGTCAGGTTAGGATTCAATTACCTTTAAACTGATTTCTACATTTTGATGACTTTGATTGTTACAATCTAACAGAGCATTAGGTTAGATTAGTTGTGTGTGTGTGTGTGTGTGTGTAATAACTCCATAGCATTATTGGTCAAACTGTGTGTAATAACTCCATAGCATTATTGGTCAATCCACTAACTAACTTCCTTCTTTGGGTTTGTGGTCCACTGAATCTTCCATGACTTCTTCACAGAAACTGATGCCTTCCCAAGTTCCCCTTATCCCAGACTCCTAAATTGTTCAAAAAATAAAATTTCTTATTGTTTTCAAAACAAAAATATTTTAACCTGTCAACACCATTTTGAACTTTTACGCTGGCATTTATCACATTATATTAGTCCTCCTATTTCGAGCTTCTAGTTAGCTCCAGAGAGATCACCACTAACAAGACAGCATCAAGGACAGAGCCTCATGGCACTTCACCTGAGATCTGTTTACAAACTGCTACTTAAAATTTTTGTATAAAATTTTTATTTAAAAAATGGGCATTCATCTATCAAGCCAACCATGTAGTATCCTGAAAGTCTTATTTATGTACCCAGACTTGATATTCTTGTCTCATTGATAAATTTTCCAAAGAGCAATGTAAAAGTTTCTGATCAGGGGTGTAACAAAATTGTGATGCGATGGTGGAAAGACCATGGACTTTGCCAGACACACCTGTGTTCACTTAATTCAGACCTTTCAGGACTGTGATGGGGGTAAGGGATGGTACTGGAGGTACAATAAGCAGTGGGATATTGAAATCACAAATTTTCTATACAGTGCTGCAATCTAGACTGTGTAAAACATGCAGTAACTCTAGTTTCCATTGAAACTTCATCATAAGCACCCATCTTCCACTGAATAGAAATGGGATGGGAGGAATTCTGAATAAATGCTTAACTGTTCTCAGTTTCTCATCATTCACTCTTCTGGAAAAACAACACTGGGGTCTAGTTGGAGGTCTGCAAGATCTTAAGATCAAGGTGGGGAGGCAACCCAGCAGCCTTTACTG